ATCCTGGTAAATCTCCTCTGCACCTTTTCCAACGCTTCCACATCTTTCCTGTAATGAGGCGACCAGAACTGGGCACAATACTCCAGATGTGGCCGAACCAGGCTTTTGTATAGCTGGAGCATAACTTCACGGCTCTTGAACTCAATCTCTCTATTAAAGCTAACACACCATACGCCTTCTTAACAACTCTATCCACCTGGATGGCAGCTTTCAGGGAACTGTGGACATGAACCCCAAGATGCCTCTGCTCCTCCACACTGTCAAGAATCTTTCCGTTAACCCTGTATTCTGCTTTCAAGTTTGACCTTCCAAAATGAATCACCTCACACTTTTCAGGGTTAAACTCCATCCGCCACTTCTCAGCCCAGCTCTGCATCCTATCAAGTTGTTAAACTTGAAAAGATTTACAAGGATCTTACCAGGGTTGGAGAGTTTGAGCTATAGGGAGAGGCTGAATAGGTTGGGGCTATTTTCCCTGGACTATCAGAGGCTGAGTGGTGACCTTATAGAAGTTTATAAGGTCATGAGGGGCAGAGATAAGGTGAATAGCAAAGGTCTTTTCCCCAGGGTAGGGAGTCCAAAATTAGAGGGCATAGGTTTAAGGTGAGAGGGGGAACATTTAAATGGGACCTAAGGGGCAACTTTTTCATGCAAGGATAGTGTGTGTCTGGAATGAACTGCTGAAGGTAGTGGTGAAGGCTGGCTCAATTGCAAGATTTAAAGACATCTGGATGGGTATATGAATAGGAAGGGTTTAGATGGATAATGGGCCAAATGCTGGCAATGGGACTAGATTAATTTAGGATATCTGGTCAGCACGGACGAGTTGGACCGAAGGGTCTGTTTCCACGCTTTACATCACTATAATTCTAGCGGTAGCCTAGCAATTTTCATTAATTCCCATCTCATGTTGTATATGTCCTCTTCCTGAGGTGATGTACTTCATTCACTCTACCACATAATCAGCTACTACCGCAAAGGCATACCCATTCTTTGTATAAATGTCAGCACATCTCTTTTGGTGCTTTCTTTTTTTCCCACTAATTCTGCCACCCAAGCTGAAAAATCTCCGGATAATTTCCCCACTACTGAGGACACTTCGCTGCCCTGCTGGTGCACAGACCTCTACCCAAGTAACTTCAGGACCCATCCTTAAACAAAATCAACCTCATACCCTTCAGTTAATTTTCCTTTAAAATTCCTGGAGTTCCTTCCTCTACTTCCTGCAAACTATGTTCCTCTCCTTCTGATAGAATGCCTTCCACTGAGTTGACCTTATTATCACAGATTACTACAATTAATATTTCTTTCAGCAGCAGTTTCATCTCTCATGCAGCCAGTCTACTGTCTGATACTGTCCTGAGTTTTTCTATGTTAAGTAGTTGTACTGTAGTGTGCCTCACACACAGGAATGTTTCTACTGTCATTACAATGTGTATGTAGGCTTTCACTGTCCATGATGCACAGTCAATTGATGTCACACATCAGGGTATGCCACTTATACTTCTCTGCCAAATAATCCCTGGTAATATTACTGGTTTCAACCAATCCCATCCTCTTGAATTATACTGCACGGAAGAAGCCTCTTGGATTATGGACATAGAGATGGTACGGTTTTCCCATACAGGTAGTTCCAGATCTGGTGCATGGACTAGCGCTCATTCTAATACCACAAAAGCTTGTTCTTGATCCTCTCTCCACTATTTTGTCTTGTGCTGCCAATTTGTTAACCCCTCTGGGGGGCTACAATTTTCATAAACTCCATGAAATTTTTAAAATTAGGAGACCCAGGACTTATCCAACTCATCACAGATCTGTCGGTCTAGGTATACTTTTTATCGCCACCTTCCTATTTGGGAATAGCTCCATTTACCTTGAATGGTCTGGTATCCTAAGTACTGAACCTCACATTTACCCACTGGGCCCTCTTTATGCTTACTTCGAAGTCTGCTGTTTCTAGCAGCTCTAGAATGTGTAATAAGAATCTTACTATGACCACTGACATAGTGATCACCAGATTGTTCTCTCCTTTCCTCCTCCTTGTGTCCAATAGTTGTTACATCTATTAACTAATGTCCTTTAAGGAAGGAAATCTGTCATTCTTATCTGGTCTGGCCTACATGTTGGTTGACTCTTAACCGCCCTCTAGACAATTAGGGATGGGCAACAAATGCTGGCCTAGCCAGAGACGTTCACATCCCATGAGTGAATAAAACACCACCATCATCTTGCATTAATTTCCAATGTTGTCAATAGATGGGGTGTAAAATGAGTATCCAGTGGTTAATTTGAAAATCCTTTCATAAATGTACTTGATAAGACCAAGTATTTTGAAGCTCACAGGGTATTGACAACAGACCTAATATATGTAATAGCAATACTACGAGGTATCCTCAGCACTATGTAGAAGTAAGCACATCCTAATCACAATACGAAATGAATAATTTCTGCTTACAGCTGCATTTTTGATGGACAGGAAAGAAAGGAAGCCTTAAGAAACAATGTCCTCACAGATCATGCTGTTTTAAACTGTAGTACACCCCATAAATTACAATACTCCAGTCCCTTATTTTCCTTTGTTGAAAAATGAGAATATTCTTAATATTATGAAAAAAATGAACAAGAAAGATACTGCATAAAAAACCCACAAAAACAGATGTAAAAAATAGAAAAAAAATGATCAAAAACATAACAGAGTGAAAAACTACAGTATGAGAGAAATCTCACCAGAAATGTAAAAACAGTAAGAGTTTTTGAAAATATTTAAAGAAAAGAGTTAGAAAACTGAGCTTAGTCCTACGGAAAGTCAGATTGCAGAATTAATAATGGAAATAAAGAAGTAGCAGATGGACTGAATAGATAATGTGCATTAATCTTCACTCTACAGGACACAAGTAACATCCCAGAAATAGCGTTAAATCAAAAAATTGAAGAAAGGGAGGAATTCAGGAAAATCACAAAGCCAGAAAAAGGATTCCGGTCGCTTTTTTTTTTCTTTCTCACTTTCCTCATTTTTCTCCCCCCCTCACTTTCTCTTTTATTTTACTTACCTCTTGTCGACAAGCTTGGTCGCAGCGGCAGCATCAGCAGCAGTTAGTGAACCTAGCACAGATAACAGTGGGCCCAATGCAGACGTGAGTAGACGCAGAACAGCACACTCACGATGGTGATGGAGGCAGGTTTGGGTCAGCAACAAGGCAGCATCTGCATCCAGCGCAGATTAGTGGAGGCAGCTGTGGAAGAGAGTTTGATCCTAGTTCAAGACTCGGCAGCATCAGCAGCAGCTGTATCGGCGAGGTGGGCCCAAAGCAGACCAATGATGGCAGAGTCGAGTTTGGGCCACCGACGGCATCGGTGGTATCTGCATTGGCAAGGTCCAGAGGATTCATAGTGGTGAGGGCATTGGTGGAGAGAAGATGGTGCCGAAGAGTGGCGACTTTCATTCCAGCGATGGCGGTGCTTCGAAGGGGACTTGTGCTGGCCACCAGGCCCATGGCAAAGTACTTAACAAGAAGAACTGTGCAGTTGAACACTTTTTCATTGTTTCTTCATTTTTCTGCCTTTATATTCTATGTTTTGGTTTATTTTTCTCTGTTTTAAGATGGCACCGGTGAGTGGAGACACTATACAACACTTTTTGCTGTATTTTGTAACAAAACAGATGTGACAACAAATAAATCAAATAAATTGTTAGAGCTGAAGGCTGACAAGTGCCCAGGTCCTGATGAACTTCATCCCACTGTCCTAAAAGAGGTGGCTTGTGAGATATTTGACACGTTGACTTTAATTATCCAAAACTCCCTTGTTTCAGGAACTATCCCATTATATTGGAAGACAGTGAATGAAACTCCTTCATTCAATTAAGGGAAGAGACAGCAGAAAACTGCAGGTCAATCACTGAAAATCTGTCAAAAGGGAAGTGTTGGAAGCTATTATTTAATAAGTCATATCATTTTCTTGAATAAGTTCAACATAATCAAGCAGAGTCAGAGTGGTTTTATGCAAGGGAAATCATGTTTGAACAATCTATTGGAGATTTGCGAGGAGATAACATTTGAGGAGGTAATATTACTGTGGTTAAAAGAAGATGTACTGTACCTTAATTTCCAGGTAGTAACCTAAATGATTTCTCTGGATCAAAAAAATTATAAGAATTTACCTCTGCCTCTTTTGAGGGACCAAGGATTGACCAGGCCAACAACTAAAGCAGATAAAACGTAAAAGAACGTTTAAAAATTTTAAAAAAAATCCTGTTACCAAACTTGCATGGGGATACCACTAACGAGTCCTTTACATACGTCCTGTGGAAATTTAGTAGAAACTCCAGATTAACATCCATTTTCAGTAATTTACTTCATTTCGTTAGGGTGTTTTGCCAATAAGTTATATGGGTTACCAGTGGAATTTACATGCTAATGTTTTATATTACCAGTAAGCAATTTACCTAACAGCATTGGCTAATGTACAGGGTATGGCAATGCTGACAAGTGCTAAATTTTCCTGGTCATTGTTAGTGTCGATGGTCCTATAACAGATGCATTTCTGAGGACGAGACAGAGAAATCAGAATGGGAGAACTCTATATTGGTAGTAAAGCCTCTTCTTAAGTTAATGGACAGAAAATTGGCCAAACTGTTATGGGATGTAATCCTCTGCTCCATTCTTCAGTAAAAACACATTATTCAATACACACAGCTACAGTAGCTGGAAAGGCCACTCATTTGAGTTTGAATCTAAACTAGTGGTAAATTAAGTTATTTGTAAACTTACTGATCTCTGTCAAAATAACTAGCAAGTCTGATCCAGAAGTTCTAATTTCTGATAAATTCTAACATTTGGATTTGACAGTAGGGCATTAATTTCAATTGAATGCAATCTCCTGGACCCATTTTCTCAATGTATGCAAGGCAGAAAGCTTTCCGGTCACAAAGCCAGATAATAAGAAAGTTTATTAAAATATTTAAAGCAGAAACAGTTCATTACCAAAGATATAATACATACGTGATCAAGTTTTCCAAAACCATATGTGCATGAGTCAAAATCTGAGAAAGAATAAGGAAAATGATATAAATGTATATACAAGATAAAAGTTAGACTTTAATTAATTCTATTGCATCTGTCTAATAAAACATACAGTATGTGCATTTAGTCCTGTCCATGATGTCCTCCCTGAAGAGATTTATAACATTTAACTCTTAAAGATAAGTTAGATCAGGGGTATTTTCCTGACAACTTCAGTCCGTTGAGTTCAAGCTACTCATTCCCACAAATGTTTTTCTCGAGTCTGTAAGATTGAGATAACCATCTCACAATGGAAGATGCTGCCCAAGAACGTTACATTCCTCCAAATAGACAGTGTAATTTTAATAAACCTTAGCTATGCTACAAACATCACAGATATTTATAGGGTCTAGAATTTCTCTCCAGAATATATTTACTATAGACAGAAGTTAACAAGCAACACACTTTAAGTGAATAAATAAACCATTATGTCAAAAACAACCAAAAAAAAACCCAAATCTAATAGAATCTAATCTGGTGTTCTTTGCAACTATTCAAGAAAAATTGAAGAATATTTTAAAATATTCAAAAATAGTGCATCCACCATCATTTAAAACAAAGTTTTACCTCAAAGCACTGAATGAGTAAAATATCTTCTCCCAGTGGGAGAAAATATTTATTAAACAAACCTGATAGTTCCCAGTATTTCTAAAATTTCAGTGAAGGGATCTTGTTTTTCATATTGTTCAGACACCCCCGCTTTGAAAATGTGGGTGCTAACTCTCTGTATAGGTTTCTCTTACTCATGTGGTTCTATATCATTAAACCTTTTTTCCTGGCGGCACAGTGGCTCAGTGGTTAGCACTGCTGCCTCACAGTGCCAGGGACCTGGGTTCAATTCCATCCTCGGGCAACTGCCTGTGTGGAGTTTGCACATTCTCCCCGTGTCTGTGCGGGTTTTCTCCGGGTACTCAGGTTTCCTCCCACAGTCCAAAGATGTGCAGGTTAGGTGGATTGGCCATGCTAAATTGCCCATAGTGTTCAGGGATGTGTAGCTTAGGTGAGTTCTAAGGAGATGGGTCTGGGTGGGATGCTCTGGGGGTCGGTGTGGACTTGTCAGGCTGAGGGATTCTATGTAAACACTGTAGGGATTCTATGTAAACACTATTCCTTAATTATTTGGTGAAGATTCCATAGCGAACTTCTAGACAATTTGTTTTTGATGGGGTTAACTCTTTTATGGAAATTTCTTTCATCCCATTTCTTTCCTTATTCTTTCAATATTAAAAGAAATCCTAAAACAAGTTCAATGAAGATGTTTCATTTTTCTATTTTATGAGTGCTACGTGAACTTGGTATCCAATCTTATTGGCGTGATAAGGATCTTTGCTATCTCTCATAAGTTGATGAGTCTGGTTTTAACGGTTGCAGTATCTCTCCTGCACTTAACATCATATTCTCACACTTGAGTATGGCGGTGTCATGTCTCTTTTCATTCCCTCTTTTCAGTGATTAAACTATTGACTGTGCTAAGTACTGTTCTGCTAAATTATTTTATAGCCAGTGTGCATTGGCTCCATATTTTCTTCTAGATGTATTTAATTTCAAAGTGGAACTTTCTGGCTTTTCCTGTTAGTTGCAAAGGAGTCTTTAATGATGAACTCCTTGTTGTATATGAATCTTTATCTTGTGCCTCCTACCTAATTAGTTCCACTTATGTCTCAATCAAATCTATATTTCTAACCAGATTCATTACCTCCCTTGGGCAATTCATCATCTGGAAGTTGGTTCTGTTTCAAGATTTCATTATAGATAGCAAAACAATCTGAAGTTGAAATAAAAAAGTATCATTCCTTCATTAATACATCAATCTTGACTTAAGTTGTTAAATTACTGGACTTAAATACACAATGGATTTATGATGCATAATATTTTGGGAAAGTTAATAATTCAAAACTGGATGTGGGATATGTTCTCAGGTCAATATTATCTGCCCCTGTTGTTATTAATCTGGAAATACTGATTTTTGAAAGAAAATTGAAAGCTGATATGTTACTATTCATAATAGATATCTTCACACAATAGATTCAGCCTGCAATCATACAAACATGGGGCAGGACATGCCTGCTGGCCCCTTGATCCTCCTCCACCATTCAGTAAGATCAGGCTGATCTGACTGTAGCCTCAAATTTGCATTCTTGCCTACTCCTGGTAACTTTTCAAACCCTTGCTTAAGGAGAATCTATCTAATCCTGCCTAAAAATGTTCAAGGACTATGCTTCATATATCTTTTCAAGACAGTTCCAAAAAGAGTTACCACCCTCAAAGGTTTGTTTTTGCCACATTACTGTTTTCATAGATCATAGAATCCCAACAGTGTGGAAACAGGCCTTCCAGCCCAACAAGTCCACATTGAATATCAGAGCATCCCACCCAGACCCATCCCCGTGTAAACCACCTAATCTACACATCCCTGAACACTATGGGTAATTTAGCATGGCCAATTCACCTAACCTGCACAGCTTTGGACTGTGGGGGGAAACCGGAGCACCCAGAAGAAACCCACGGAGACACGGAGAGAATGTGCAAACTCCACACAGACAGTTGCCCGAAGGTGGAATCGAACCTGGGTTGCTGGCGCTGTGAGGCAGCAGTGCTAACCACTGAGCCACCGTTTTAAACAGATGATCCCTAAAAATTAAACAATGACCTCGCGTTCTAGATTTCCCATAACAGGAAATATCCTCTCCAATTTACCCAGTCAAGACACCTTAGGATCTTGTATGTTTCAATCAAGTCATCTTTTGATCTTCCAAACTCCAGCAAATACAAGTGTAGCCTATTTAACATTCCTCATAAGACAGCCTACTCATTCCAGATATTAGCATGGTAAGCAGTGCTGAACTGCTTAAAATGTATTTATAACTTTCCTTAAATAAGGTAGCCAATGGTGTACACAGTACTCCAGATATGGTTTCACCAGTGCCCTATAGAACAAACAAACTCCCTACTTTTGTATTCAAATTCACCCTGCAATAAAAGATCACATTCCATCAGATATCCTAATTACTTGCTGTATCCGCATACTAACCATTTGAGATTCATACATTAGGACATTCATATCTCTCACCGTTAAGATAATAATATTATTCATTCTTCTTCCCAAAATAGACATTTTCACATTTTCCCATTTGCCAGATCTTTGCTCACTAAATTAACCTACAATACCCGAGAAAGAGTAATCGAACCCAAAAACGTTAACTCTGATTTCTCTTCGTGAATGCTGCCAGACTTGCTGAGTTTTTCCAGCAATTTCTGACTTTGTTTCTGATTAACAGTATCCACAGTTCTTTTGGCTTTTAATACCTTTTTGTTGCCTCCTTATCCTTTTCACAATTTACTTTCCTACCTTTGCGTCACCAAACTTGGCAACCATATCTTCTACCCCTTCATCTAAGTCATTTATATAAATTGTAAACAATTGAGATTCCAGCACTAATCATAATGATGTCTCTGCTGCTTCCTGTTACCCCGTGAATCTTCTATCCATGTCCTACATCACAAGATTTCATTTTCTGCAGCAATCTTTAGTGTTGCACTTATCAACTGCCTGCTGGAACTCGAGTACATTTACCAGTTCTTCTTCAGCCACAACACATTAGCTCCTCAAAAAATTCGAATCAATTGATCAAATATGATATTCCTCTCACAAAACTACGTTGACTCTGCCTGCTTATTTTGAAATTATCCAAGTGCCCTGCTTTTTTTAAAAAGAAAGTAGTAACTTGGAACATTTTCCCAATGACAGATGTTAAGCTTGTTTTAACTATTTACATTGCAAGGAATGATATTGTGCCCTCAAAAAAAAGCCCTTTTTTTTAATGGTGAAAAGAATTTGAGATGCGGCTTTGGAGGAAGAGGACATGCTGATTGATGCAAATTGCAGCAGTATTGTAAAATCCATATGCAATTTCCATTGTTCAGTGGTACATACAAATGGGTGAGGAGCACACCATCTGGCCCTGAGCCCACTCTTGTCACCTAAACAATCATGTCTGATTTGACTGTAATGCAAACTCTACATTCCTGCCTACCCTCAGTAGTCTTTCACCTCATTGTCCACCAATCATCTGTCTTCATCTGCCTTATATAAAAAAAATTCAAAGCTCTACTTCTGCAACCTTTCTCAGGAACCGAGTTCCAAAGACGTTATGCCCTCTCTGAGAGAGAATAAAATCAACCTCACCTCAGTTTAAATGGCAACCCCTTATTTTTAAAAAAAGTGACCCCAAGTTCTAGATTGTCCCACAAGAGGAAACCTCTATTTCACATTGACACTATCCTGACTTTTGTTTCGATCAAGTTGCCTCTTTTATATTTCTAAACTCCAGACTGGCCCATTCAATCTTTCCTCACAACTTGCCCATTCCTGGTATTAAACCTTCTCCAGACTACTTCCAATGCATTTACATCCATCCTTAAATAAGGAGATCATTATTGTGTACTGTATTCCAGATGTGGTCTCACCATTGCCCTATATAACTGAAGCATTACCTCCTATTTTGCTATTCAATTCCGTTTATAATAAACTATAGCATTGTTTGCTTTCCTAACTATTTGCTGTCCTGCAGACTAACGTTTTACAATTTATACGTACAATCTCTTAGATCCTTCTGTCCCTTAGAACTTTACAATCTCCCATCATTAAGATAATATACATTTTTATTTCACATGCCAAAATGGACATTTTCCACATTATACTACATATGCAGATCTTGGCCTACTCCTTCCCTTTTAAGTTTTATTTCCCTTCCTAACATCTTCTTCACAACTTACTTTCCTATCTCTTCTTGTATCATTGAAAAACACAGCAGCCTTACCTTCAGTCCCCTCATGCAAGTCATTTTCTCTAAACTGTAAACTGCTGAGGCCTCAGCACTGATCCCTGTGGTACACACCTCATCAAGTCTCGTCAAGCAGAAAATGATCAATTTATGACTACTGTTTTCTGCAGCCATGTTTCTGTAATGACTATCAGAAT